ACAAATGGTAGTCCTTTTTTTTTTAATTTTTTTAGGAGCGTTGACCTACCATTCCGAAGACCCTGACAAGTACCTTGGAAAGGCCTTGCTTAATATTAAAAATAAATTATTAAAAAAAAAACTAGAAGTAATAATAATAATTTCAATAACTTAAATAACACAGTTAAAAAATATATATATAAGAATTATAAATAAATGAAATAAATTTATTTAAATAACTAAAATTAAATAAATTAATTAATGAAATTTTGCGTGACACTGGTGATATCACCGGTGACTTCGAAGAAGTGGTCATTTGAGCTGTCACTATGGTACGGGGTAGGACATCTCGAACAAATGTCTCTGTGGAATACACAAAACTGATTTCTGGAACTGAAGGGCACCTAGTCGCAAAGTGGTATTTGTAGCTATAAAAAAATACGGACGAGAAAACCATAACCGATTTGCGGCCTCATAAAGTGAATCCCTTCTTTTGCTGAATTCTACTTTTCAGGACGGACGAGAAAACGGGTCTAAAAGAGTGTAGTATGCCAACCACAAGGTCCCTCTAGCTTTTAGTATTTAATAGTAAATAAGTTACGTTACGATGTGTAAGTATCAGGGAAGAAAACCAACCAAACCGATAGCCGATATAAACCGATTCCTAATAGAGAACTGAAAACGATACCGATACCAAAATAAAAATGTAATTTCAAACTGATTACCGTATTGCTGGTACCGGTACGGGTTTGGTACTCATTTACTAAATTCGTTAAAAATCCTGAATCCTTCCACTTTCTGCTAATCGACTTCTTCCCTTCCCTTTTTAGCAGATTTACTGCTCATGTAACATTTTTAGGTCGCACAAAATATATCTAATATATACCAATTTAAAATATATGTATTATGTTTAAGGGGAGGTAGGGTCTAGCAAAAAAAAAATTCAATTTTTTTTTAAATTTTTTTTCTTGTAGATAAACATCTTAAGTCAATCGGAAAAAAACTTTAGAAGTTATGCTAAAACTAGTACCCTAACCTCTAAGACTTTAGGTACGTAAGTGCATCTTTTAGTGCGTTTTTCTCGAAACCACGTTTTGAAAGACCGTGGTAATTGGCATTTGAATATTCCTTTGGGAGCCTTAAGATATAGTGGTCCGATCTGGCTCGCTCCGACATATATACTACCTGCAATGGAAAGAAGTCTTTCGGGAAAGTTTCATCGCGATAGCTTTAAAACTGAGAGACTAGTTCGCATAGAAACGGACAGACGGACATGGCTAGATAGACTCGGCTATTGGTGCTGATCAAGAATATATATACTTTATGTGGTCGGAAACGTCTCCTTCACTACGTTGCAAACATCTGACTGAAATTATAATACCCTCTGCAAGGGTATAAAAATACAACCAAAAGTGAAACAGCAGTCCAGCGTAAGGACCATGCGCACTGACTGGTTCATAGGATTCCATAGAACCCTGCTATTCAAAAGGGGGTCGCCCATAGGGCGAAATAAGGTTTATAAAGAAGAAGATGAAGAAAACCACAGACCCTGTGGATGATAGAACTCGAAGATCTTCTGAAGTCAACCAAAGAACCTATGTCTTAGCACTGGTGTAGCAAAATAAAAATATTTTAAAAATTAGAATTTGTCGTCGATTTTTTCAGTGGCAGGCTGGTTAAGGTTCTGCCATAGCATAGCCCATGGGAATATAATTTCTTTCGATCATTTTACAATATACCTTTCGTATACCAAAATATGGATGCAGCGATGTAATATTATTATTAATACTTTAATATCGATAGTTCAACTAAAACTAAGAATTAGAGAGAGCACAATATTTTTAATTTGCATATTAGTTTTTATACCCTTGCAGAGGGCATAATGATTTCAGTCAGAAGTTTGCAACGCAGTGAAGGAGACGTTTCCGTCCCCATAAAGTATATATATTCTTGATCAGCATCACAAGACGAGTCGATCTAGCCATGTCCGTCTGTCCGTCCGTCTGTCCGTCTGTCTTTTTCTACGCAAACTAGTCTCTCAGTTTTTGAGATATCGGGACGAAACTTTCGCAAAAGTCTTCTTTCTATAGCAGGTAGTATATATGTCGGAACCGACCGGATCGGAGAACTATATCTTATAGCTCTCATAGGAAGGATCGGAAAAAAAACTTTAAAAAATTCTAGATTCGTTGTTTTTTGAAATAAAAACTTCTACTTTTGGGGATGTTATTTTTTAAATATTTCTAAATTTCGAATTAATTATTTAAAAAATCGGAATACTATATCATATAGCTGCCATAGGAACGATCGGAAAATTAATGGAAAAGTAATAGGAAATAAATTCTAGCTTCTTTGGTTTTTATTGTATTATCTTCTACTCTAGGATATGACTCTTTTTAAATATTTCCGAATTTTAATTTAAATTTGATCAAAATCGGAAGACTATATCATATAGCTGCCATATGAACGATCGGAAAATTAATGGAAAAGTAATAGGAAATAAATTCTAGCTTCTTTGGTTTTTATTGTATTATCTTCTACTCTAGGATATGACTCTTTTTAAATATTTCCGAATTTCAATTTTAATTTGATCAAAATCGGACGACTATATCATATAGCTGCCATAGGAACGATCGGAAAATTAATGAGAAATATTAGAAAATTGAACATTTTTGCGATTTGTTAATTAATAGGAATGATCTGCAAGGGTATATAAGCTTCGGCTGGCCGAAGCTAGCTTCCTTTCTTGTTTTTTGTAATTTTTTTTTTAAATATTGCAACATTTTGGATATATGTATATATAAGAGAATAATAACAGAAAATGTAAGTTTGCATACATCGATTTTTTCAGACTATGTTAACGGGCTTGAAAAATTAGAAATTCCATTTAAAAAATTCCTCCTGAAGCATAGAGAGGCCTTTACCAAGAATATGTAGGGGAGTGTGGGGTAATGTGACGAAATAGTCGAATCTCACATACACTTGCCAGAAAAAGTATGCGTACAAATATTTTCCGCAACTTTAGAGCTTAAAAAAACGTCTTAAAAAAATTCGTAAAAATGTCATTTTAATTTTAACATTTAGTACACATATTAAGCTTTAATTTGACGTAACTCATTAATTTCTAGCACATTTACTTTTCCTAATATAAACAAAAATGTACAAATTGGCCGGATTTCGCATCAGAAAAAGTATGCGTACAAATGCATTTAGTATTAGAAAAAACCATATTTTGGGCAAAGTTCGTCGAGTTTAGTACGGAGTTTGATACCCTTTATGTTTTATAACTTCAGTCTTCGTATTTGGCATCGATTGGACCAATGTCCTTGCATCCTTCGCTGTTATTTACTTCCATTCATCGACATTGAGTTTTTTCAGGATATCCTTGGATGACAGGGTGTGAAGGCGAGTCCTGCCCTCCAGGACATCACAAAAATGCTTTACGGGATTGAGATATACTATTTTGATGGCGAATGTAGCTGTTTTACACATAAAAGCTTTGTTTTGTGGGCGAAATGTTTAGGTTCGTTGTCCTCTTGGTACCAAAAGTCCTTTTCGAGTCCCACTTTCAGGGCGCTTTAATTTGTTGTCTTAAAGTGCATAAAACAACCAACCAAATGAGGTATCGTTTATTAAAATCGGTCAACAACTTAACGAGAAATGGCTAGCCATATAACCAAACAAACAACTGCTTTGGCGTAATGCACGAATTTCATACGAATTAAAAAAAAAACTAACCTTCTATCTAAATAAGAAAGTTTTTATACCCATTTCTCGTTAAGTTGTTGACCGATTTTAATAAACGATACCTCATTTGGTTGGTTGTTTTATGCACTTTAAGACAACAAATTAAAGCGCCCTGAAAGTGGGACTCGAAAAGGACTTTTGGTACCAAGAGGACAACGAACCTAAACATTTCGCCCACAAAACAAAGCTTTTATGTGTAAAACAGCTACATTCGCCATCAAAATAGTATATCTCAATTCCGTAAAGCATTTTTGTGATGTCCTGGAGGGCAGGACTCGCCTTCACACCCTTGCATCCAAGGATATCCTGAAAAAACTCAATGTCGATGAATGGAAGTATATAACAGCGAAGGATGCAAGGACATTGGTCCAATCGATGCCAAATATGTAGACTGAAGTTATAAAACATAAAGGGTATCAAACTCCGTACTAAACTCGACGTACTTTGCCCAAAATATGGCTTTTTCTAATATTATATGCATTTGTACGCATACTTTTTCTGATGCGAAATCCGGCCAATTTGTGCATTTTTGTTTATATTAGGAAAAGTAAAGGTGCTAGAAATTAATGGGTTACGTCAAATTAAAGCCTAATATGTGTACTAAATGTTAAAATTAAAAATTTTTTAAGACGTTTTTTTAAGCTCTAAAGTTGCGGAAAATACTTGTACGCATACTTTTTCTGGCAAGTGTATGACGGCACGACAAAAAATCCAAATAAATGTAGTCGTCTTCTCTTGTAGTGTCGACAATGTATTTATACTAATATTAACAGGAAGTCCCGTAATTTGTTTGTGTTTTCAAATTTGATTTGGTACTTGGTGTTTTTTTTTTTGTTTGCGACGTTTGAAAGTGACGCCGTTTTTGCTACAAGGGTACCTTTTAGGATATCGTGACGGTTCGTCGTTTGTACGTTTGTACGGTATGGTGACAAACGTTTTTTATTCTAGAATTAAAATTGTTATCGTTGATTTGGTGTAAGAAAACTATAATATTACAAGATACCATTAAATGCTGCAGTTTTATTGTAGTTTTGTATTGTTTTTAATCGTACGTTTACAGAAAAATATTCAGTAAATGCAAGCAACTTTTTGCTTTTTCACTTTTGAAAAATATGGGTTTTTGAAAAAGTTACATTCAAAAAACGAATCGTTCGTCACCTTACCCTACACTACCCTATATGTTTTTATGTTTTGCATTCGTTCAAGGAATATAATATGCCTTATTACTGTACGAGTACAATTAAATCAGTCAATTAAATACATTTAAGCCGTACCATTTCTTGCAGCTAAAATTCCTCCAGTTGCAGCACCGCTTATTATAGAGTTCCATGGATCTTCTTTTTTTCGGAAGTGGACAAGTGTGCAGTCAATAGTACTGAACATACCACCCCACACAGCAAAATTTCCTGCTATAACGGGTGAACGAGTTTTTATAGCAATTATACTTCCAATCTAGGATAATAAAATATTTAAATGAATTAATTAATTATTTAAGGCGGAAAAAACACATTAGTCTGATGTCTCGAGCTGATTACACAATTTAATTGATTCTTATTTTACATTACATTTATATTGTAATTTTCATACCAATCTTCTGTTTATGCCAGAAGGTGCATTACGAAATCCTTTGATTGCTTGAAATACACCTCCTCCAATGCATCCCATAGCAAAGGCACCTCCACAATCGTCTACTATTCTATATGGACAAGGCTCTCGAGCGTATTCTTCCATATTAAACTAAAGTAATTTAGTAATTTATGAAAAAGAATATATTATTTTAAGGTACTATAAGAACATGTGTTTTTATGTAATATATTAATTTGTCTCTACCTTGATATGATTCAATATGAACGCAAAGAATATTTATTTTTATTATAATGCGCTGATCACACATCCCACACGAATGTAGAGATGCTTTTAAATACGTGACACTCGAATTATATACTCTTCCCACAGAGAGCCATTCAACATCCGTATAACGGATAAAGTTTTGCGGTTCCGAAAATTTCCCAGTTATAGGTCTTCCCACAGAGATCTATCCACTATCCGTTGAACGGATGGTAAGTAAGGTTTTGCCGTTCCGAAAATTTCCCAGTTAAACCGCCATCCAATTTATACGGACTTTGACGGACTCTTTTATGCGGTAGTTAGGCGATGTTTTTTCGGTGTAACTGTGAATTCTTCCTCTCGACTGTGAAATAATTTGAGTCGGAATCGTGTGCTAGAGGTGGTGTGCACTAAGAAAGGCAACAAAATTAATGCTTTTAAATTTACCTCGATGTATGGATGCTTCGAATTCGTTACGAATTCCCTAGTTAAACTGTTTTTTTTAAGTTCCCCAACGCAAGGATTCTTACCACAAGGACCCCAAAGTTCGAAAAATGCTGCAATGGGACAACCCTCCGGAGGTATCAGAAGTAATCGGATTTATGGTTTGTTTTCATGATAAAGTTTTATAAAAGTGACAATCCTTATCTTTCAAGCCCCATACTAAGAATAATTTTAGAATTTTTTTCAGGGAGAAATAAATTAATAAAATAAACTCAACTATCCAAGATTTTTTATATCATAGTCAACTTAATATACCTGAAGGAAAATATTTGTACCTTTTCGTCATTTCCGAGATTTTTAAATTTTTTTTCCAAATTTAAGAAAGCTTTTTTTATATTTCCAACGAGTACAATTCTAACATGCTTAAGCTAAAAAGTTGCACAACTCATCTGCCAATCGCACGATTATTTCGAAATAAAATTCATGGAAAATAAACTTTATTCAATAAATAGTTTTAGACACGCCCAAAAGTCTGCCAACCGATCGGTATGAGTGATTCTTTGTGAAACGTATCGAGATTTTCTTCACGGTCTCAAAACAAAATCTTATTTTTATGACAATATCACACCATTTAAGAAAGGTTTTTAAAAAAGTTTAAAAAATCCATTCGACAGAAGCAAAGATATGGCGATGCTCTTTTTTGTTTAGTTCCTATATAATTTTTAATTACGTGGGGTAAAAAATAAAAAAAAATACGCAAAAATTATTATTTTTGCCAAGCTTTCAAATAAAAATAACACCCATAATGGTTCCAATGCAAAATATAGTCCCAACTTAAAAAAATATTTCATTCTCGGTTTTCTGCAAATCGGCATTTTTAATCTTTATAAAAAAATAATATAATGATCTTTACATAATTCTTGTTGTTCCTGAAAGATTCTTCATGGACCTCCATTACTTTCTGCATAATTTAATAAAACAATAAAAAACAAAGCAGTCTTTCGTTCTGATACATTAAAAGGGACTTTCCACAGAGCTCCATCCACCATCTACCATCCGTTGAACGAATGGTCCATAAGGTTTTGCCGTTCCGAAAATGTCCTAGTTAGTCCGCCATTCAATTTTGACGGACTTTGACGGGCTCTTTTGTGCGATAGTTAGACGATGTTTTCTCAGTGCAACTCTTAATTCTTCCTCTTGACTGTGAAACTTGGAACGATGACTGCAAAAACAAATCAAATCGATGGCGGGAAAAAATTAAAAAGTGCTTCACCTCATTGTTTTTTGTGTTTTTTTTTTAATTATTTGGTTTGGTTTACAAATTTTTCATATTAATATTTGCTAGGCAGATGCGTAGTAAGAGCAGTGTTTGTGGTACGGGCGGTTAGGCTCCCCCCAGTCAGCAATATTTATATGTATACAGGCATGTAGAGACACGAGTTTCAAATTCGTCAATAATCCCAACCGTTTCAAACGGATGGACTCTATAATATTATAAGATCTTCCACCTTCCACCATCCGTTGAACGGATGGTCCATAAGGTTTTGCCGTTCCGAAAATTTCCCAGTTAGTCCGCCATCCAATTTTGACGGACTTTGACGGGCTCTTTTATCCAATAGTTAGGCGATGTTTTTGAAAAATGGAACGATGATTGCGAGAACAAATCAAATCGATGGCGGGAAAAAATGTAATAATACACTAGCAATACCCGAAGCGACGCTGTCCGCTACTATTAGCAAAGTATTTATTGCTGATTTTTTCATAAATTCAAATTAATATCACAGTAAAATCCCGCCTAGCCTTAGCTAAACAGTAAACTCACCTAGAACACACTAATATTCTATCCATATCCTTTTAACCATAACATACTTTACCTTAACACCGCATTGACCCCAATATTACCTCACCCTAACCTCACCGCTCTCCTCTCTTAATCTCACCCTGGGCACACTTTTTTGGCACCTTTATGATGTTTTCGCTATTTCCTCGTCTTAACCCCAATGTAACCCATCCATACTCACCCTTCACGCCGAATTAACATAATTTTAACCACCATCTCCACCTTAACACCAGTTTTTCCTCTCATTACCTATCTAACTTTCAAATGTTTCCTCACAATACTTGCTTTCCTTAACTTTACTTTTTCTTAATAAAATTTGTTTGTCACCTTGCACACTTTATCCAAATTTCAAACGAACCCTACCTTTCTCACCTTGACCCTTCTTTTACAGTACTTTTAACCTAATGTATTTTATACCCCCCTTAGGCACAACTTAACCACGCATTAACCTCACCTTATTCCCACCTTAACTCCACCGTTCTGGTAGCCTAAATCTATCATTTTGGCAGCGATTTTTTTTATCTTAACTTTTTTTTCGACCAGATTTAACCCCCAAAAAACATTAAAAACTTAAAAAGCATATATAACAATAGATATATATATAACATAGATATCTATGGAAGGCTACGGCCAACATGGTAAGGTAAACAAAACGAGGACGGAAGCTAACTTCGGCAAGCCGAAGTTTTAATACCCTTGCAGATTTTACGAATCAAAACTTGACTAGCATAGCAACATGAATTAATAAACAACAAAATGTTTCATAATTGAAAAAAATAAAATTATATCCCTATTGTTCCTATGGGAGCTATAGGATATAGACGTCCGATCGGTCCGAGCGCTTTAACCCTAATCAAGGTATGCATAAAATAATAAGATTTGAAAAGTTTCATGTCAATAGCTTATATTCTACCCGAAATATCCTGAAAAACGTCAAATTTTGACCGTTTTCACCCTATTGTTCCTATGGCAGCTATAAGATATAGACGTCCGATCGGCACGCGCTTTTACCCTGATCAAGGTATGCGTAAAAGAATACGATTCATGTCAAAAGCTCTTACACTGAGCGAAATATCTTAATTTTGTGAAAGCTATATCCGATAGTTCCTATGGGAGCTATAGGATATAGACGTCCGATCGGGTCGGTTTTCAAACTTGATCTGCGTACACATGTTTTAGGACGACTGTGAAAGTTTTAAGTTGCTAGCTTTTGAACTGAGCTCGCAAACGGTATTGAAACAGACGGACGGACGGACAGACGGGCAGACGGACATGGCTATATCGACTCCCCTATTGATCCTGATCAAGAATATATATACTTTATGGGGTCGGAAACGTCTCCTTCACTGCGTTACAAACTTCTGACCAAAATTATAATACCCTCTGCAAGGGTATAAAAAGATGTGCCCCAATGTCAACGGCTGGAGGTAAATAATTCCGCAAATAAGGAAAATTAAGAAAAAACGCACTTAAAGCTCCAACTCTTTTGGGTAAAAACTGTGGGTGTAATTCAACCTGTAAGCCTTTTGGAGAGGAAATTTTACAAAAAAGTTCTTCGTGTGCCTCTCTTTAACAATTTAAAACCAATTTTTCAAAGTTTTTGTAGGTACGTTTTGGCTGGTACAATTTCCAGATTATCAACTTTGTACGAATACTACCTTTTCTTAAATTATAATGTTATTTGTGCACGCATATATGACATTTTATGTCTATGTATGTATGTATGTTTTTGTAATTTTGTTACAATTTTAGAGTAGAGCCCAGAAACTAAAACTCCTGAATATTTTACGGGATACATACACATTTTGATTTAGAATTACATCCATTAGGTGTTTTATCCTAATTTAATCATTACAAACTTATATACATGCCAATTTGTCGATGTGTGTATGTGTCATGGCATTTCTTACATTTAAATGTGACGACTAAAAGTTTTTCCCTTGAAAACCAATCCAATTTTTTTTTGACTGAAAACAAAAATTCATTTGCATGCATTTTACGGGTTGCCTACACACTTTGACTAAGAATTGCATCTATTAGATATTCCGTTCTGGTATCCAAATAGTACAATTTTGATGAGGTGTTTCCAAACCACAAAAAATCATTGGCCGCCTTTCTTTCGTTTCAAATGACTCTCTCTCTGCTCACTACTCTCTCGCTCTGCTTCTGCTGACGTTCGTGAGTGGTGCGAACTGACGAAGCATACAAAAAAAATACCTTACTGATTGTATGGCATGGAGCTATGCCATACTTTAAACCAAAATCGGATCCGATCGCATAATCGGTGCGGAATAATTAATTAAGTGCGCCAACCGGAAGTCGGTTGGGGCTCATGTTCTGGGCTTTCAAAGATTTCCACAAACAAAGCTTAAAATAAAAATGTCAACTTGTTTGGTTGCAAACTGTGGGAATGGTTGATGTTTTAATCAAGCAATTTCGCCTTTTTCGAGAGTCCTGGGAGTCCTTAGGAGCCGAATTTTGAAAAAGTCCTTTCTTAGTGCACACCTCCTCTAACACACGATTCAGACCCAATTTTTTCCAGAATTTTAGGTCTTATGGTTTGGGCTGGGGGAACATGACGCAAATCGACGTCTACTCTTTTATAGTAATACTCGATTATTATTAAAGGTTTTATATGTTTGGATTAAAAACTTAAGCAATTTATCCGAAATATGAACTCTAACTCTCTCTTTAATTTAAATATTAAACACTTTAGAAATGACTAAGGAATGTATCGAAAATAAACTGCACACTTTTTAACTCAAATTTCTCGAAGAGCTAGCTTTCGATCTGGCTGGGAAATGCACCGTTTGAAACATATTCTATTTTCACTATCTATCC